AAAAAAAAAAAAAAAAAATCTAACAATACAAACACTGATAATAAGATTTAATTAGTGGCACTCTATTTGTTCAAAAGGAGAAACTCTTCTTCAAATTGCTAATTTTCACAACCAATTCAATACCATGAAATGAGGATATGATCAACTTACCCAGGGGATTGGCACCAATAAATACATTTGCAAAGTTCATCTTGGGCATCTGGGTCAAAGACTGAATATAGTTTCTTGCCTGTAAAAACAAGGGTCTTCAGAATGACTTTGTTCAACAATGTGACTGCCCTTAAAAAGTCCTAATAAGGGATGAGTGTTAACTAAGAGTCTGTTCACTAAGCCCAATGTTGATGACAATTGTTGATATTAAAGACTTCTCTCTCACTGTCTAACTTCTCCACTTATAATCATCACCTTTATATATTCCTGCTCTCAGTTATACTTCACGTGAACAAGACTGCTAACGAATTCAGTTCTAAGTAGCCCGTTCTGAAAACAGCCTTCTTAAATAGCTAAAACTGCTAGAGTTGATATTGAAAAGCAGTGATCTTTCTGATTTGAAAAGAAAGTTATAGGAACTGGTCGTATACACACATGGTTGCAATCCCTTTCTACTTCAGTGTGTAGACAAAAAGAGGAAGGGAAAACAGAGGTAAGAAGACCTGTCTCTCTCTAGAGAACAGTCATCCCTTTAACAAAGATGAATAAAAAGGCTGCCTGAATATAACTGGAATAGAAACAAAGTCATTGGAAAGGGCCTTCTGTGATGCTAACCTGCTTCCCAAAATAATAAGGGCACCTTAGGAAGCAGTAGCCCCAGTAACCTCTGATGACAAAACTAGAGTAAGTTTAAATGATTAAGAATCAGTAAAGAAAACATCTAACCTTACCTAAGTATTCATATTATTTGTGTATTTTCTTTTAAATATAGTATACCCCTTAGTACTGAGTATTTGATAGGTTTTTTTAATTATTAATGATAATCATCTTTTAGTCATTAGAAAAAGAAAAAGCTGCTAGTGATCTCTGGTTAACTGCCTCTGATGAAGTCACATCTGTTGTCATATCCTAACTAGAGGCACAGGACTTATGAAGAAACAGTCCCTTGAGCACTAAATTCATAAAATCAAATAAAAGGAACATCATTTTCTATTTACAAGCCTACATTATATTCTCATTCTCAATGAGATGATATTTTATCCCAAATGTCAACATCCTGCAATATTACACAGGTGGTCACTGCCTTAGTAGTCCTCAAGGCACATGCAAGTATTCAGTGACATTAAAAACTGTGTTGGTTATACAGCGGCAATAAAATGAGGATGTGGTCTTCTGAATTAGACACCCCTGTACAGTCTATTTATTCTCACCTCATGGCTTGGCATCCTGTTAATGAGATAAGCAGGGGGTGTCCCCGTCAGACGCATAATCTGCTGAAGCTGGTTAATATCTTAGATGCCTAGTCAAGGGCATTGTTAAACATACAGTGCAAAAAATAACTTTCAACTCAAATTTTAAGAAAGGTCAAAAAGCCACCTCAAAACAAAAAACCTACTCCCCACCCACCTTGGTGAGAGCCCAAGGTTGCATGTTAAAGCATGCTTTGGTGAATGGCATGAGTTATTAGGCCTGTAGTCAGTGAATGACCATGCAGATAAAAAAATAATAATAATTTTCTTTGATGTTAACATCATCTTTATGGTTAAATATTTTAGATTCCCTGGAAACAGACTGCTCCTTGATCCAGGATGCCAGCCAGAGAACTGACTTCATGTAACTGACAGCCAACACCTGTTTGCCTGTCAGATAAATACAGATGATTGAGAGAATTTTGATTCAACTTTAGACAAAATAAAATATCTGATATTCATTCAAGGAATAGTTTAAATTTTATGGTACAGGTTCTCCAAGGAACCACCTCTCCAAATGAAGATACAAGTGGAGTGTAGGTTGATGTTTCAAAGACATTAGTAACAGTACATTTAAAATACATGCCAAAAACATACAATGTTAAGTGAAGAAAGGGGAGATGGGGGGAAGTTAGAGGCTAATGGCAAAGACAAAAATAGAAGTCACAGGCCGCTGACAGTATCATAGCATGCCACAATTATCATTCCTGTTAAGTCTCTCCAATGAGTAAATACATAAACTTCACTTAAACAGCTGGGAGAAAATGGGCAAAACGTTCTGAAATTATCTACAACAGCAGAACTGTGAGGTTTTCCTTACATACAAGCACATATTTAAGCTGCACTCCAAACTTCAGTTGTTTATTTATTTAGGTGCCAGGGATTGAACCCAGGGGCGTTTAACCACTGAGCCACATCACCAGCCCTTTTTTTGTATTTTATTTAGAGATAGGGTCACATTGAATTTTTGTATTTTATTTAGAGACAGGGTCTCATTAAGGCCTTGATAAGTTGCTGAGGATGGTTTGAACTTGTGATCCTCCTGCCTCAGCCTCTTAAGTCTCTGGAATTACAGGCACAAGCCACCGCACCCAGCTAAACTTCACTTTTAACTGTGCTTCCAATATTAACATAAATCCCTTCTTCCAAAATATGATAAGAACTATCAGTTTATTATGCATTCCTACTGAAAGTAGAAGTGATAATATTTGTTAAACCCTCAAAATAATTCAACAGACTCCTTTTCTATTCCCTTTCTTGAAACTATCAATTCTGTCCTTCAGCTGAAGCATTACCTTCAGCAAGAACCATGGCCAAGTAATTTCACTTTTTAGTGGCTTCCCTGAATAATTTTTCCACTTCAGCTCATTTCCTGAACTCAACTCCCTAGTGGTCGGATTACTGCTAATGCAAGTTTGAGATTGGATCTGGGAACAGAGCTGGGGCCCTGTGTTCCACTCTGCCTTTCCTGCTCCATAGGCCCCAAGATAGAGGCCAGCAAATTAAAAAAGCATTCTCACAACAAATGGTAGATTTACTTTAAACAACCTGCATAACCAACAGTACTTTGCATGCCAAGAGAAATAACAAAAGGGGGCTCACAAAGTAAACCAGCAAGAGCAGGTTACAGGTCAGGTCTAAACCATGAGACTCCCAACAACTTTTCTTCTCCTTTCTGTGAACAGTACTTTGCCTGTACATGTTCTGCTTTTGTCTCCTTTAGTCAAAATAGGTGATTTATCCCCCTGCTGTCAGATTAAGATTATATTTCTAAAGAAAAATGTGAATCAGGCTTTGCTTTTTTAGTATTTTTCTGCTTTCACTGGTTACTATAGGAGCTGGAATACTAATTAAATAAATTCTATATTTAGGCATCCACCATGACCATCTACTCCTTATCTATGGCACATCCTAACTTGTTCTCTAGCCATTACTGTAGTCTCTTAATCAGAATTTCTGATTATTTATTGATTGAATTTCCTCAAAAAATGTTGACACCACTATTCATTACTTTTCAGGGGTAATGAAAACAGTTGCTTGCTTTCTGTTTACTATATGTAATGTAATGTCTCTTTTAATTTTTAAAATCTTTGAATAGTTTTACTCACCTGGCTTTGTTATTTTTCCATTCTGTACTCCACACATCATGTGCTTTTAGGACAAAAAGGTCACTAACTTTGGACAGTGTCACTGAGATCAAGTTAATCTTGCCTACCTTTTTGAATAAACTACTTTTACCCACTTGCCACAGCTGCATGAGGGAAAAGTCCTTTCATATTCCTATACCCACTACTGGTATTATTTGAGTAAGTTCTTTATTCTGAACCTCAATTTCATTATGCCCAATGTGTACTAGTGCTGTTGAAATATATGATATGTCCCATTTTCATGTAAGATTAAAGACATTTCATCATTAAGCTATGTAAATAATGTTTCTTTCTTTAAAATATATGATGGATTAATGATAGATAAGTACAATTTTACCCATACTTTGCATTTCAGAACTTCTTGTAACTAATAGCACATACTTTCTATAGGGCAGATGGCTAGGGTGGGAGAAGGGACTGAGAGAGTTACTAGTAGTCATTCCCAGGGAATTCATTTGCTATCTCAGTCTCATTAGCACTATTCATTAATTGAGCTTCTTCCAGCCTCTGTCCCCCTTATCCTTTTACTGACAATCTTTCTAAGCAAATGCTTTTAAAACAACGACAATCACCTGTCCTTCCTAAGCATCATCTCATTTCTTCTTTGATATACTCTAATCCAGCTTCTGCTGTTTCATAAAGGAAAAGAAACACCTTTCAGGTTAATATTGTGGTCAATAGTTCTGCTGATGATTTTCAAAATACTATACAATCACATGAGATTTACATTTTGGATCCTGTTATTATAACATCTGGGATCTGTACTCAGCACTGCCAAATGACTCAATGCATGACTTGGGCAAGTCACAGCTTTTCTGTGTTCTTACTTCCTTATCTTAATCAAGGAAATGAAACAAAATGAAACAGAACCAGCACATCCTTTTACATCCCTCAGAGTGGAAACTGAAAAACTATACTAGGCATCATGGTCCTTTTTTGTCAGGGACATGATAACAGTTAAACTCACCTGTTCATGCCTGCCTGAACCCCCTGGCAGTCTTCCCAACTGCGCAAAGGGCCCTTCTGTCAGAAATGTGGGAAGGAGAATCCAGAAAAGTGAAGCTGGAGCTCCATGGCTCTTTATTCCCCTTTTGTCCGATTCACTGGCAGCCAATAGAGGGGAAAATGGGGAAAAGGCTGGCTTTCATAGCTTCTCTCCTATCTCTGGTCCCCCAAATGACCAATAGCAGGAAATCATAACCAAACTAAGCCAGAGACACATTCCCATGGCTTCTGTCTAAATCCCTGCTTAGAGAAGAAAAGTGCTAGCTCTAAAGTCTTTTCTTGGGTTAGTCAATTAGTAATTACCAAGGAGAGCTATGGGAGGACGGATTTACAAATGTACTCCAGTGGGTCTGAGATGTCAGGAGTAGCAGTGTTTCCTCTGAGTGGTCCGAGGACCGGCAGGGAAAGGGAGGCTGGTTGGGAACATGCACCTTGTACAGGATGTATAAGTTGTCAACGCTAAAATAATAAAAAGCAAGTAACTTTTGGAAAGGGGCAACAGGATATAGACAATGTACATTTCACCCCCCGCCATTTCATTCTTTTAGTTATGAATTTACATGGTGAGGCTCATACTTTGAGATTGAACACTAACCAAAAAGTGAACAGAGCTTTTGAATATAAGTGAAACTTCTGTGAGAGATGAAGTCAGGGCTTGAAAACAGAGACACAAATTTTCTATAAAACTCTTGCAATGAACTTGAATCTCAAATCTCATTTTTACTAAGATACAATTGCCCACAGGAGGTTCCCATGATCTAAGTATATACCCAAACAGAGAGAGCAAAACACACTCATGCATGCAAGCAGGCACATGCATGCACACACAGATGTGTGCACACACACATACACACAGATATACCTCATCTTGGAAGTCAGCACGCAAAGTGCACACGTGCTTACAAACATACTAGGGTCAAAGTACAGACCGCAGAAGGCAAGAGGCAGAGATGCCCAACCGGGCAGATAATTACAATCAAAGCATCAACTCACAGACTCTGAGGAGATTTTCTTCAAAAGCTCAGCCCCTGGGGTTCCAACGAGTCTTAAAATGAGCTTCAACTGATCAATATCTAATGGTGGACTATAAAGGAAAATGTTGGGACAAAATAAAAATGAAAAAACAAACAATAACAAACAAAATAAAATAAAACAAACAAAATACCCCAAACACAAAAATTAAAAACCCCAAACCAAACCAAAATGTGAATTCATCTAGGTCAAGATTTCTGCAGGATGGCCACAAGTAGGACACATTCCTCCTGTACAAAGGTTCAAAATGCTGCCATACACATATTCAACTAATATTCATTTTGTGCATCTGTCAACACCATGTATTGGTAAAGAGGTGACTTTAGTGGGTCATAGCTAAAACACAAAGGCTCTACTGAGTCCACGCTTGGGCTACACCTACCTTCTCCCCTTCCACCAAAGTATCAGTAGTCAGTCAAGCAGACAGTACTGGAAAGTCAAGGGTTACAGAAAAGAAAAGAGCGACAGAGCACAGGAGCTGGGGACTAGTCTATTTGGGAATATTCTCCTAAGGCTTGACCTAAAGGGCTTGTAATATGACGGTGTGAAGCCTTCTAGGATCTGGAAGCATGACCACTTGAGCTGCCCTCTAGCTCCCACACCAGCTCTAGTAAGCAGAGCACTGTGAGTGACAGCCAGCCAGCAGAGGGCACTCTCCCACTGCATGTTCTTTCAAGAGCACCATAACAGCTGAACAAAGGAGGCTGCAACCTTCTAAATGCAAAATAAAAATTGAATGCTTAACAAATTTCACATATCCCAAAGGCTCTAAATACTAACACTCAATGCCCAAATCTTTATTCTGGCAGCCAACACTTTGATGTATACTTACGTGTATGTGTGCATATTAACCAGAATTGCTACTTGTCCTATTGTTTTTAACCTTGTCTAAGAAAAAGGAAGTTAAAGGAGAAAAAAAAAATCACATAAAATAGCTTTTTAATATTTTCTGTGGGCATTTGAATAGTTTACTCATATTTGTGCTGCCATTCCGGGGGGAAAGAGGAGTGGAGGATAACTGTCTGACACCTGTCAGGTTTTTCACATGATTAGCTCCTTTTCAACTTTAGGTCTCAGCTTAAACCTCACCTCTCAGAGAGGCTTCACTAGTCTGAGTGGTCTGAAGGCTAGAGAAAGAAGCAGCTCAGTTGGGAACACACCCCTGGTACAGGATGTGTGAGTTGTCAACTCTAAATGAATGAAAAAAATATCCCCACCCCCTTATTCCCGCTCTCCACACCATGCTTGGTGACATCATAGCACTTACACAGTCTAGAGTTACTCTGTGTACTGTCTGTAGCCTCTACTGGTCTGCGGCTCTGTGAGGGTGGGGGCCACCCTGCCTGTTCAACATCTGTTCCCAGTACCTAGCTTAACATTTAGTACACCAAGGGCACACAAAATAACAGAGGAGAGGATAGAGCAGGATGAAAGAAAATATTTTTGCTTATGATTATACATGTAAGGGCAAGAGGGTGTAACTTAGTAACAATGGCTTCTGCAAGCCATAGTTGCCTAAGTTACAGTAATTACTTATGCAATAGGATGTCAGGCATCTTGTTTTTTTTTTTTTTTTTTTTTTTAACTTCCCAGATCAGAAATCTGCTTAAACAGAAGAAATTTCTAGACAGGAATCAACAAATCCCAACTCATTGCCTGTTTGATATAAAGTTTTGCTGGAATGCAGCCATGTTCATTTGTTTATATACTGTTTTTAGTTGCTTTCACACTAAAGTAAGTAAGTTACAGTAGAAACCACATGATTTCCAAAGCCTGAAATATTTATTATCTGGCCCTTTAAGAAAAGGTGTGCTGAAGGCTGAGGCAGGAGGATCCAAGTTCAAGACCAGCCTGGGCAACTTAGGGAAACTATCTAAAAAAAATAAATAAATAATGGGGCTGGGGATGTGGCTCAAGCGGTAGTGTGCTTGCCTGGCATGCGTGTGGCCCGGGTTTGATCCTCAGCACCACATACAAACAAAGATGTTGTGTCTGCCAAAAACTAAAGAAAATAAATATTTTTAAAAAATAAAATAGATAAATAAAAAATAATAATAATAAAATGGGCTGGAGATGTAGCCCAGTGGTAGATAGATCAACCCTGGACTCAATCCCCAGTTCCATAAAAAAAAAGAAAAAAGAAAGAAAGAAAGAAGAGAAAAGGTATGCTGGGTATGTTTAATTCTAACTTAGACACAAATGACTGTATTCTATAAAAAACAAGGATAATTAAAAACAAATCCATCCACATAAGTTATTTCTAACTTTGTCATCTACAAATGACAAAAAGTAGTGTGGTCTGAGGGTAAAATTTAAATACAGCTTTCTTAGTTCAAGGTGTGATCAGAAACTTTTTTTTTTTAATATACCAGGGATTGAACCCTGGGGCACTTATCCACTGAGCCACATCCCCAGCCCTTTTAAAATTTTATTTAGAGACAGAGTCTCGCTGAGTTGCTAAGTACCTTGCTAAGTTGCTGAGGCTGGCATTGAACCTGCAATCCTCCTGTCTCTGCCTCCTGAGCCACTAGGATTACAGAGATACACCACAACATTTTTAAAAAACATGTTCATGGGGACAGAGCAGGAGTGGGAGTGAGATGGATATTGTCTTACCCTAACATAATCAGATTAATTATAATGGAAATCAGTAAAGGATTTGTTAATTTCTCAACCTAACAAAAATTTATAAAGTTCTCTCACATTCTCTTTAGGAACACTTAATGGAATTGTTATCCTTCTGAGAAAAAAAAAAATCAAACTAGACTACTTCAACTCTCAAACAGGTGGTTTTACAATATATACATCAAAATGAATCTATAAAAACTGTTGAGACTGGTACTGTTGCTAAAAAGACTTCTGAGTACTCAAAGGGAGTCGAATTTAATATTGCCTTTAATGGCCCTAACTTCACCCCACCCTATGTGAAGAAAATACAGCTCCCACTGGCCATAGCAGCTCACTACACCAGCAAGCTGGGGACCCTGTGTCTTTCCCCGGTCTGCCACTGGGAGTCAACCTCAGGACTGGAGATTCAAACCCCAATTCCTCAGCCTCACTTCAGTGGCCCTGGTAACAAGCCACTTTTCTGACTGCCTCAAACTAACATTCCTGAATGCTTCAACTCACACCAAATATTCCAGGTACTTCTAAGCTTCCAAGTTCTTATTTATGCAAGTAATAAATGAGAATATCCTCCACTATCTCTTTGTGCCAGGCCTTTTCTCTTCCTATTTACCCTTTAAAATCCTCAAACAAGAACTCTGCCATTAAGTCTTCCTGGATATCTTAAATTTGAATTAATTCTTTTTTCTTCTAATAATTTATTAGTACCTTTATTATACTGTTTTTATCATTCCATTTTGTTTTATAATCAGGGACAGACATTTGTTCAAGTAACTTTTACAACTCACTTTTCACTGTCTGATCATTCTGGTTTTGAGGACTGGCACATTTCTACCTTCAGTACATTCAATGGAGTAGCCTGACAAATACTAGCTAACTTGAAAGACTTGCTGTAATATGCTTTTCAACCCCATTCTACCACTTCATGTTGTTCTCAAAACTCAGAATGACCACAGGCTATGGGGAGTATATATACAAAGTAGTAGTCCAGAAAAATTGCTTCATTTAATAATGGCCTAACAAAGATCTACTCACTCACTGAGAAGTGTTTACACCATGGAGAGTATACAAATACAGTGTCATGAATCTGTAAGGGTCATGTACACAGAGTTGATAGAACATAATAGCCAATGTTTAGGAGATTAGCAAACACATAATATAAAATGAAAATCTAGTTAGTATCTAAAAGCACTTGCATGAAGGCAGTCAAAGCATGCAAACTTCAGAAGAAATCACCATGGGTTTTCCAAAAGATTTCAGGCAAATCCACTGAAATCCAGGCCAATCTTCCACAGGACCAGCTACTGTAAGTCTACTACAATTTGTCCAGACAGTTAAGGCCAGATGGAGCTTCAAGTAGCTATACAGCAGAGCAAAGCAAAATTTACTACGTTATGACAGTTAGCTAATGCCAAAGCAAGCCATCTTTTAGAACAGGTTTTAGCACCTTTTCCCCTAGGCAGAAGACCACGTTTACTGTTCATTTAAAATGGGTTTTAATTATAATGATCATAAAGTCAAATTTTAAAATCATAAATCTCCAGATTTGTGTTTTAAACAAATGAAGAAAAAGATATTAGGCCTTAAGATTATGTTTTAGAGTAAGTTCTCTGTAACAGAAGTAAAAGGTAGTCAGAATGAACAGGTAAGGACAAACAACAAACAACAAAACAAACAAACAAAACCCCTAGGATAACAGGATAATTAGAGGAAAAGTAAAAGAGGGATGGATATTCTAATCATTTCTAAGGGCTCTAGGCATATTCCTAGAAAACCCCCACAGACCACAGAGTTGAAGATAAGCAGGATCAGTAGCGGGACCTGGCTGCTTGTGAGTTATAGTTTTCAATGAAATAAATCCACAAAAGGATAAATTACAGACTCCTTTGGGAGGGCTGAAGTCCTTCTAGTGACAAACAGGATGGACTCAAATGAAATCCAGCCTACTTCCTTCTCTTTTAGGTTGTCAAAGTAGTAATTTTCAATATAACTAATACACACACACACATTCTCTCTCTCTCTCTCTCTCTCTCTCTCTCTCTCTCTCTCTCTCTCTCTCCTAGGTTTATCAACAAACCTGAGAAGTGTAGCTTTTTCCAAAAATACATTCTCAAGTTAAACAAAAAAGGGCAAAATGACAATCTAATAAAATATTTTTCTTCTTCAACATTTATTACAATATTTGCTTTTAGAGTCTACCATGAAACTGCTTTTTTAAAATGAGGAAGAATGTTTTAAACCAAGTACTGAAAGTGATGGATAAATGTAACTGAGAAGGGGCACTCCAGCAGCTTGGGCTCAGCTGCCCACACCATCCCATAATCTGGTGAAGTGCACACAGGTGTTCATTATATTATTCTTTGTCTTCTGGTGTGTCTGAAATATTTCATAATATGCTTGGAAAAGATCAAAAGAAGAAATGAGTAACCACAGAATTAACGGGACAATTTAATATACCAAGAAAATGCACATGAGCAGAGCAGCAGACGTCCCGTGAAGTGGACTATGTGACTCAACAGCCCCATCGTCCTCCAACAGATGTAAGACCATTTCTATTAAAAAAAAAAGAAGGGGCGGGGCTTTCATACATGAAGGGAGCTTACTTGATTACTTAGGGAAGGAAATGAACACACCAAGGCTGTGATCTCTGGTAGGAAAAACTGTATTTGACACATAATAGGACTACAAAATTCATTCTCTCTCTTCCTTAAGCTTAAGGAAGTGTCAAGTGTCAGTTATAACATCTTCTGACTCACTTATTTCAAAATCAGCACCTGAATAAGTTAGTACTCACCTGAAGAGACATTCTGACTTCTCCCTCCCTATAATATTAAATTGTCAGTTATGTTCACTTAACATACCTTGTCAGTTAAGTGTCTAGAAAAGGGCTTCCTTTTTTACAAAATAATAATACTATTAAGCCAGATGGAAGGATTTATAAGAATAGCAGATATTGGTGATGATTTCCCAATAATGTGAATGTAATTAACACTATTGAATTATGGTCAAAATGGTAAAATTTGTTATGTCTACTTTACCACAATAAAAATTAAAATGAATTTTATGTTTTGAATCACACAGAATATTTTCCATAAAGTTAAGTTGCATTAGTCAATTTCAATATCCACACAGGCTAGTGGCCACCAACACTATATTGGACAGCACATTTGCAACATCACAAAAAAGCTCTATAGGACAGTTCTTATCTAGAAGCCACGACCACCAGTTTGAATACACAATAATTAATCAATAAGGAAAACCAGGAGAAACCTGTGCACTCCAATAAGCATCACCCTCTGGAGCATTTAAAAATCATCAACAATCTGTAGCTGCATACTTTTAGAGCCAAACCAGCACCTCTTCCAAAGGTTTTGAAGAGATATTCTAAAAATCAAAGGACTGGAAAAGAACAGGATACTGGAAGGAACTCTTTGATCTCATCTGTATCTTAAGAAAAATGACAAAAACTGCTAACCTAAATAACCTTTTCCAGGATCAGCCATGGTAGAAACTAAATTTAACTGGGTTAAATGCTAGTTGTACTCAATCCTCTGCTGCACACATTAGAATCACCTGAAGACTTAAATACCCCAAATCCTGTGCTCTGACCCATACCAACTGAAGTCTTTAGGGTGGTGCCCAGGCATATAGAGCTTTTTTTTTTTTTTTTTTTTTTTTTTTGTGTGTGTGTGTGTGTGTGTGTGTGTATACCAGGCCACATCCCAAGTCCTTTTTTTATATTTTATTAGAGACAGGGTCTTGCTGAATTGCTCAGGACCTCACTAAACTGCTGAGGCTGGCTTTGAAGTCGTGATCCTCCTTCCTTAGCCTCTCAAGTCCCTGGGATTATAGGTGTGTGCCACCATGGCCAGCTTAGAGCTTTTTTAAAAGCTTCCTCAAATGATTCTGATACACAGTGAAGATTAAGAAGCACTGTGCTAGAACATAAGTGATTGTACACTCCAGTCAAAAAAAAAAAAGGGCAAACACTTCCCTCTTTCCTTCTTGTCAGGCAACTAAAGCTATACCTCAAATATGATAACTGACAATAGGAAGATTAAATATACCATAAATATAAATCCTTCAAATTCAATGTTTATAACCAATGATAATGTCCAGAAAAGAGCCAACTAGAAGGACATGGTGAATTACTAAAATCAGAATTTTCATGTATTAAAAAAAGAATCTTGGGCTGGGGTTATGGCTTGGTGGTAGAGTGCTTGCCTAGCATATGTGAGGCACTGGGTTTGCTTCTCAGCACCACATAAAAATAAATAAAGGCTTACCAACAACTAATAAAACATTTTTTAAAAAACTAAATCCTGCCAGGCATGGTAATGCACACCTATAATCCCAGGCTGAGGCAGGAGGATCACAAGTTTGAGGTCAGCCTGGGCAACTCAGCAAAACCCTGACTCAAAATAAAAATTTTGAAAGATCTATCTCAATGGTAGAGCACCATTGGGTTTAATCCATAGTACCGCCCCTCCAAAAAATCCTCGATTAAAGTTTAAATATTAAGTATGCAAAAAAGGAACACTTCTTACAGGATGAAAGTTAGTATTCTAAAAGGGCCATATCACACTGCTTTGAACACTTTCTATCACTAGCCCGCCAAGGGGATCTATCCTTTACCACCTGCCAAAGAATCAATAATAACAATCATTAATGACTCATAGGTAGATAATAAAGCAGGTGGAGGGAGGGAAAAATTGTTTTCAAAGACCACAATGAATATGATGCATCTACTGGCAGGCTCTGGTCTAAGTGCTTTCCAGATAATATTTCACTGAATTCTCACAACAACCTGTGAATTATATATTTTTACTAGCATTTTATGATTAAGGGAACAGAGCACAGAGATTAGAAAATTTCCATAAAGTTACACAGCAGGAAGTAAAAGCTAAGATCAAAACCCAGAATTTGATTCCAGGGCATGGGCTCCTATCAGCACCCTACACTGTCTCTCTGCCACTATGTGTGTCTATGTAGGCAAGTGGTCTGTGACTGGCCAAACAGAAGCTGGAGACACAGAAGCCAAGAAAAGGAAGGGGAGAAGAGAACAAAGGACAGCCTCAGTGTAGCATCTGCTCCAGGGCAAACCAAGGGGATTACAAATTTCCCCTAATTCTCTCAATTTGGACGGTAATTAATATACATATACCAGATTTCTAAGAAACAGATGTAAAACCACTTAAAAAAGATTAGGGAAACACATTCTATTAAACTGACTTAAAATCTAGGGGTGGAGAGTGATAAGATGGGCTAAATACAGGCAGACTGAACTCTGTATCAATCCAGTAATACTCAGAGAAATGAACTGTTTTACCTGGGAACAGAAGTTTTTTTCCAGTTAACCCGGAAAATACATTCTGTCTAGCAGAATACAGTTAGAATAGAATTTCTGAACAGACTATATTAACATTAAAATTACAGTTACCATAGAAATATATCCCAAACAATAAATGAAGCAAACTAACATTCTGGTTTGTAATCTTAATGGGTTTATTTAGGTAAGAAGCTAAAACAGTTTTTAGATCTCTAAGCATGACCACATACAGGTAACTGTAGCATTTCTAAAAGTCCACCAAAAACATGTGAAACTCAATTAAATTTTACAAAAGTCCCCCAAACTAATTCTAGACATATATTTTTAAAATCTTTCTCCCCTAAACGTCTTCCTCAAATGTGATTGATGGGTGTTCCAACACACTATATTTTGATGACAATATTACTATATCATGAAACAAACATGTAGCAGTCAGGAAAGAGGATGAAATAAAGGGCTATGATGAGCCATAAACTAGACAATAAACTAAGGTTTCACTACCATGTGGGATAAAGTTGTGCTGCAAAACAAAGGCACATGACATGGTGACCACTTCTTGCTTTTACTATTTGTTGTTAAACAACAAACGTAACAAGAGTCAGCAGGTTTGCCATAACAGGGCCCAAACATGACCTTTTAGTACATAAACCAAACATAACTGCAAGATACTCTTGATTTGAAAAGAGTATCTGTGCTCATGAAGATTTGTACAGTCGATTAAACCTGTCAATGGGATCTACAGCTTCTCATGAGTTTGCTCAGGTCTTAGAACTGCTGTGGAAAGATTAATATAAAGGACTTGCTGTAAAAAGATGACAGATGAAAGGATTTTTCAGCTTATGAAAAGTTTTTCTTGTTAACAAAAATAAATTAAAGCCTCTTTCCTGGGGCTGGGGTTATGGCTCAGAGGTAGAGCACTTGCCTAGCATGCGTGAGGCACTGGATTCGATCCTCAGCACCACATAAATAAAGATATTGTGTCCACCTATAACTAAAAAAAAAAAGTAAAAAAAAAGCCTCTTTCCTGGCAAGACAAGCTACTCAGCAAGAGGGCAGAATATCTGAAAAGCAAGAAATTGAGAGCCTTCTCTATAGATAAGTAAAGATAATACACAACCACAGACATTAGAATACAGATAAGAAATAAGAATCCAAAACTTTTTAAAAGGATACGGTCTGTACCAGGAAACAATGTTCTTCCAGTTAACAGCTCCGCCATTATGCATCCCACTGACCATATATCCACTGGCAAAATTAAAGAGAAATAAAAGTACATTATCACTATTATTATGCTTGGTCACAAATGGAACTATAAGTAGAGGTGAAATATTCAAATTAATATTTAAAACATCTGAGATTCAACATTTTACTCATTTCTATACAGATAAATAAGATTGATACCTTCACCCCAGTAAAGAGCTTCACAGGCAGGGTAAGTCTAAACATACTTAAGGGAAAAGAAAGAAACTGTTCACAAAGGGGAAAAAGGTTCTTAGTGGTAAAGTAGTGGATTCTCCCAAGTAACATAAAGAGGTTAAGATTATGAACTCATTATCTTCTGCTAGAAGTACTCAAAGAATTATGTTGAAAAATCTAAATAAATAAAAATTCAATTACTAAATCACAAAGCTTAAAAGCTGTGTATAAAAAAGCTCCACCTCCCCATCTAAGCAAGTAAAATATTTTCTATTTGTAGGCTTTAAAAGGATCACTGAGGGAAGAAACATATTTCTTCCCACTCTACCGCTACTTCTGAGAATCACAAATGTATCCAAAATGGTATTGATAAGGCCATAAATAACCCATGCAAGCAATCAATACCTGTCTGGTTGTAATGCATCCAGTTCAACATGATCTCAGGAGCCCTGTACCACCTTGTAGCCACGTAGCCTGTCATTTCATCATCAGTATGTCGAGCTAGTCCAAAATCCAGAATCTAAAGGGAAGGAGAAAATCAGGCACTGGAACAGGCAAACTGCTAGGACTTTAGACAGGGAAAATTTCTGTTGCCTTGTGAAAAAGGAACAGTAAAGCACTTTCATAAGCAGATCTCCCACTCCATACTTAGAATGCATGGTGAACACACTACAAGAATTTTAAAAAATAAAATTACAAGCAAAATAAAAAATGTGACTCCTAGGTATTTACTCAAGAGCAATAAAACATACGTCCATACAAAGGTTTAAAACTGAATATTCATAGTAACTTCAAATAGCTCCAAACTAGAACTATTTATTCACCCTAACAGGTGAATGAATATTCATATTCTGATATGTCATTAAATAGGGCACTATTCAGCAAGAAAAAAGAAGAAATCAAGTTCCAGAGCTGCTTACTCTTTTATATAAGATTAATTCACTTATCTCTCTCTCTTTTTATTGTTTAGTTGTAACTGGACCCAATATCTTCATTTTATTTATTTTTATGTGGTGCTGAGGATCGAACCCAGGGCCCCACACATGCTAGGTGAGCGCTCTACTGCTGAGCCACAATCCCAGCCCCATAATTCACTTATCTCTTATTTGAATTATTTTGAGTAGGTTTCTACGATTTTTCCTTTTAGGAATCTACTTAATCTAGTAATTACTGCTTCAGTATGCTTTGATAGTCAGACTATAATTTTCCTTTATTATGAATAATAAGTCACATTTTTAATTTAACTTTATTTTAAAATGTAAACACCTAATGCCATTATCAAAGTCATTTAAACAGTTTTTTCAGACTATGGTTTAAATTTCAAAGTCTGATATTCCTAAGGACAATATGAATTTTTCAGATAAAAAGTCATGGCCTATAAATCTGTCCCTGTGAAATTTGTCAGGTTTGTCAGGTGAAGTAAACAATCACTGCTGTCGCTTCCTCTTACCTTCAGCTCACAGTCTTCATTCACAGCTAGATTACTAGGTTTTAGGTCCTAGGAAGTAAGTACACAGAAGACAGGATCAACTTTAGGATCCATGATAAATTCTCTCTCCAGGTAATAATGAGGATCCAGACAACAGTAAGACCTCATCCAGTTATAAACAGACAGTCTCCATTATATAGTATCTAGACCAATTAGCCTTCATCAGGCACAAATTATAAATCTTTCTTCAATCATTCTAACCCAGAGCAAAGTTGCAATGGATCAATAGGTAAATGTAAAAAGTAAGTTTAGACCAAGATCTTGGCAGGATGCCATTCTTCCACTCTCCCCACCTTACCGCCCTAGAATAATTTAATCAAAGTCATGGTACATACCCTGTGAATTATATCAGCTGAATGAATATACTGCCAGAGAGGGAAAAAAAGTCAGTTAAATGAAAGTTACTTCCAACCTCCCACTGCCATATACTATAGTATATTTCCAGCACATTTTAATGAATCAGTAAGAACTACTAGTGTTCACAGTAAAATAACATCAGTAAAATTATCAATGATATATATATTTATCATAACAATGATTTCCACAGACACTGACTCCACTCAATCTTTCAACCTATCTTCTGGCTGGCACTTTGGGACTCAATAAGGATTCAAAGTTGCTAAATATCAAACATGGTTTAATTTTAAAACACTGTTTCTCTGCTTGAGAAATTTTTTAAAGCTTCAATATTATACTAATCAGATATTAGACTGTATCAATAAATTATACTTTTAGATGTAATAATGAAAAGTCCTTCTCTCTCTGATACTCATACTGAGGTATCTCTGGATGGAATGATAAGATGCCTAGACCTGCTTTAAAATAACCTGTGGCTTAAGAAACACAACAGAAACAAGGTTGGCCAAATACTGGTAGTTATGGTCACTGAGTGAACACAATAACGTGTGATTATCTGTTTTAAGCCCTAAATTGCAGGAATGGAAGGAAAGAATTAATTTCTCAAAATTATTGCTGATATTGTCAATACCTTTAGACCTCGGAGAATTTGGTAGATAAGGAATTGAACGTGGTCATCCGTAAGCTTCTGACACTTTACTATGTTGTTCAGATCTGCCCCCATGAGATGGGTCACCAGATACCTAGAAATGAATAAAGAGTTACACAATAATCAAGAATTTGTAGGGAAATTCTTATCTTCACAAGACTTTCCAGAGTTTTTAAGGAAAGGCCACCCATTAAGTACCATAATGATAAATAAAAGCTCAACAAATTCTTGGGGGGAGGTGGTAGCAAATTTTTAACTCCACTATTCTAACTTTACCACCAGCCATCTAGTCTAAACATTTTTAAACTCATTCCTACTTGATCTATCTTTTCCCAGTTTCTCTAGAGAAAAAGGATTTACTAAATGATTTATTTAGATTTCAGAAATGAAAAGAAAAAAGCAAAGATGGAGATTAGGAAGATAAACATGCCAGGATCAGTTTTCTTACAAATGTCACATTTAGAAGAAACATACAGTACAACTCAGTGCATAGCAACAATAAAGCATCTTATATTTTAAAAATCCACCACTATATTTTCATTATAAACCTTTTATGGGGGCTGGGGATGTGGCTCAAGCAGTAGCGCGCTAGCCTGGCATGCGTGCGACCCGGGTTCGATCCTCAGCACCACATACCAACAAAGATGTTGTGTCCGCTGAGAACTAAAAAATAAATATTAAAAATTCTCTCTCTCTCTCTCTCTCTCCTCTCTCTCTCTCTCTTTAAAAAACAAAAAACAAAACCAAAAAAAAATACCTTTTATGTTGCAGGTTCTGAAATAGGAGTATTTTTTTTAGATTTTCAAACTATAATTCTCCTTTTCCAGGAGTGATTAGTAAAAGGATATTTTTCATTGACAATATTCCTACATTTACCTTAAAGGAAGAAGGAACACAATTGATCTGTTTGACAGGACGAGGCATTCCAGAACTCCTCACAGGTGTGGTACTGGTTATTAATTCTATCTTTATATGGTAAGATGAGGGAATGATTATATGCAAGTCCAACAGGTTCGCCACAGAAATTCTAGACACAATGCCTTAACCCACTTATTACTGCATTACACAGTATGGGAACACAAAAACCAGACTGGGACTAAAATCACTTTTATCTTTAAAAGTGTTTTCCTTCCTCCAAAAGGAATGAAACTTTTTTTCTGTCCCAATTTTCCTATAGGACTATCATCATTTGTTCCCAATTTCATGAAATTGACAGGATTTCACCAATCTGTAACTTTAAGGTTAGATCTTAGCATTTCATATTTTTTAAAACTCACATGTTTATATTGCCTTGAGGAAAAGAAGGACTCTAGACTCCTTATCTAAGGAGTAAATTAGATATTCTCTCTCTGTCTGGTCTCTGAGGGCTGAGGATTGAACCCAAGGCCTCATGAACACTAGGCAAGTCAATTACTCTTTGAAGTGTTTTCATAAAGGTAATTCTGATTCAGAGATATTCCAAGCACAACATAACATGACCAAAGGCAGCTGGCACCGATTCTGTGCCAAGCACTTTATAAGCATTTTTACTCCCAATACCTCCATAAGGTAGGCCCCACCAGCATTCTCATTTCACAGATGAGGAAACAGAAACCAAGGATTAGTAAGTACCTTGCTCAAGGTCAAAAGGATCAATAATGTCAGGAGTTGAGTCCAAACTGTCTGACCCCAGAGAACATGATCTCAATCCCAGTACATATTGCCTCCAAAGTTTTCCAGCAGACCCAGAATTTACACCAAGAAAAAGTTACTTTTAAAAGTCTTATAGATGTCACAAAAACAGAGAATCATTTTCTTCAGATAATTTCCTTAATAATTCTTAATATTTATTATGAAAGTAATCTTCAACTAAGGAAGAAAAAATCTGGCAAGAATATAGCAATATCCTATCCTAGTCACCAATATATTTTTAAACCTCAAATTGGCACATAATCTGATAAAGAAGAGAATTCTATGAATAATTTTTTTGTGCTTCTACTACTGCGGATCGAACTCAGGCCTTGTGCATGGAGACAAGTGCTCTACTACTTAGCTAAACTCCCAGGCCTGGTTAGTGTTCTCAAATTAGGACTTTCCTTAAAAACCTGGGATAAAAGTTGCCATAACCGTAATATCAGTTATGATGAAATCCAAGGCTCAGGCCAGGCCAGGCTCTGTGGCATCACAAGTTTGAGGCCAGTCTCAACTTCATGAAACCTTGTCTTAAAATGAAAACAAAAAGGGCTGGTGGTACAGCTCACTGGTAGAGCTCCTCTGGGTTAAATCCCCAGGACCAAAAGGAAAAGGGAGAAAGAAAAGAAAATTTCAAGGCTCAGGCTAAGAAAGGTAGAATCCAATTTCAGTCTTATAACTACCCGACTTTAGTTACAATATTCTACCATTCTGTAATTTCTCTCAACCCCTTCCCCATTAGAGACCATGTTTTATCACTAAAATTTCCAGAACAAGGGTAAGACTGTCAAACCATTATATAAGTACATAAAATTTTTCAGCCTATATGGTAATAACTATCAAGCATTGCTAATAGGCTACAATGAAATCAACTGAAAAGCATTATTTATGTCAGAAGTCTTATAGGAATCAACCTAATCCCTACGTATTATTTCCATGAGATCCAAAATCCAATTCATGAACATCAGTTCTCAAATTTCAACTCCCATTAGGAAGATTTCCAAAATAAATCTTGTAACAGAGGACAAAAGCAAGCATCATGTACAGTTACTGTTTATGAGAGACATATGGAGAGGAAATGTAGATGGTCACATTTTTAAAGTCAATTCCAGGCTAACAATGTGACTCAGTAGTACAGCACTTGTCTAGCATGTGTAAGGCCTGGGTTTAATCCATAGCACCACTTAAAAAAAAAAAAAGTAAATTTCAAGAGGACATTAATGGAGAGTCACATAATTTCAATTGTATTTGTTTCGGGAAAGTAGATTTAATTACATTTTAGTGAAGACATGCCTAATATTTTCACTTTCCTAAAAATCTAATTCCCAAAAATCAAATTCCTAAAATAAATTAAAGAAGGCCTGACTTGAGTACACTTGGAAAGCTGTGTTCTCCCATCTTTAAAAAGGAATTAAATCAGTCTTTATTAGGCCAAAGACTGAGAAGATGATTTTATGGTCTGATATAAATCTTGTTTCTCACTTGTGAAGATGGTTTCCTTCAAACTTAATCAAAGTATGAAGAGCATAAATCACATTTCTCAAAATGAGTCTTATGAGTACTGTACCGTCGAGGAGGCAGAACCCTGTAATAAGTGTTTTCAGTACTCCAGATGTGCCCCATTCCATGGCCTTACTTACCAAGCACTCTTGGATAACACCCGTTTGTCAAGATCTCCCCCTTTACGATTAGAAAGAACCTATGTAGAAGAAAATCTCTTCTATATCTATAGATCAGTATCTCTACCAGGAGAATCAGCCCTATTCAAAACAATTATAAGGACACAGAGCATTTCTTCTATCTTTAAATGGGTATTTAAAATAATACTGACAATTTGTAACCACATGCTTCTGAGACTCATCCAGATATTTGGGACTCAGTCCAGTCTATTCTCAGCACAGGGGGCAGGGTGCTTCTTTAAAAACCTCAGATCATGTCACTCCTTTCCTCAAAGGCTCTCTACTGCACTCAGAGTAAAATACCCAAATCCTTTCAATGGCCCACAAAGCCTTTAGATCCTCCAGCACTTGGCCCCCAGTCATCTCTCTGACTTCATCCACTTCTCTCTGATGCTCTTAATCAGCTCCACACGGACTTCTTGCTCTAGTTCCAATAAAGAATGCAGCGTTCTGCCACAGGACCTCTGCAATGACAGTTTCTTCTGATTAGAATGCTTGTCCCCTAGATATCTTCAGATCTAATTCCTTTAGTTCTTCCAATTTTTGCTCAAAATTCATCTTTTCAATGAGGCCCATCCTTATCCCTCTATCTAAAATAGCATCTCTTTCCCTGTCTTCATACTCCTCTTTTTCTTTTTTTGCTATACCATTATTGCTTGCTAATATATCTAAAATTTCTTTTTTTCACATGCTAATTATTATTTCCCTGTACAATGTTTGAGTAGGATATGGTTTTGTTTTTTTCTGTACAATACCTAAAGTACCTAGAACAACATCTGAAAGATAGACAGTAGGCACTCAATTACTACACAACTGAATGACTCAGGACAAGTCATTCAGCGCCACTAGTAAGATAAGGCAAGGACATATTTTATTAAAATATGCATGCCCAAGATCTTATCTGTTAAGCAGACCAGATTGTTCTAATGTGTAAGGGGTGGAAGAACTATCCAGGAGTCAAGAGAGCAGCTTAACAAGCTTATTTCACAACACTATTCTCACTTGAAGCAACAATTACTTAACAGTGCCCTCTACATTACTGACATCGACTAGACTCAGTGTTCTATAGTAGAGGATAAATACAAGAAAGCTAGTACTGAGCATGCTATCAGACAACCAAATTGTCACCCAATTATATAGCACAAGGTCATTATGACAGCACAAGGTCATTCATTCAATCACTCCATATTGTTGGGCATTGGGAATGCAGCAGTGGAAAAGACAGATGAAGAATTTGAGAGGAATGCATATATAAATACAGTCACAACAGCATGTTTCGAACTATAAAGGGGACATCAGGTGTCAGAGAATACACAGGAGAAGATCCCAACATGGACTGAGGAAGGAGTAAATTAGACAAACATTTTGAAGGACTCAAACCTTAAGCTAGGCCTTGAAGCTTCTTTACCTTTTTTAGAGAAAAGGGTGGCATTTTACGAATCATATGAGTTAAAAACTGAATGGTATTTCCTTCCTTCCTGGTCTCAGTACTGGGGATTGGACCTAGAACCTTGCACATGCTAGGCAATCACTCTACCACTGAACTACACTTCCAAGACTGAATGGATTATACATCTTAAAGAATTTATTTAGATTTCAAATGTGAGTCACTAACCATAAGCAGTTCAAGAGCCCTCTCTGATAAGAAATAAAAACTGCAAGGGTCGGGATTGTGGCTCAAGCCTAGCATGTGCAAAGCCCTGGGTTCAATCCTCAGCACCACATAAAAATAAATAAAATAAAG